GACTCCCTTTTTATCTTTTATATTTTGCCCTACCTCCCTTCGAAGACAATGGGCTGCTTTTCTGGGCGCCTGATGTCCTCTGCTAGCGATCAGAAGTTGTTTTGTGAAATTTGCTCAGCGTTGAAATGTTCTTTCGATGAATTTGTAGGGAGAAAGTGGTCTCCCTGTCCTATTCCTCCACCATCTTGGCTCCTCCCCCAAACTGACTTTTGGAATGCAGAATGCTACGTCAAGTAGTTAACATCTTCCTTCCACTTGGTGGGAGTTCTATTTTGGCAGAAGAAGTAAGAAATATTGTTAGATGTGTCCCTTGAGGGGACCAGAACCCTGCCCCACGCTGCACTGTTATTTCTTGAATGCTCCTCCCTTATCGCTATATCCCCTCCTCTCCCTGATTAGCAACTGTTTGAGCCTGCACTTTGGGACTCAGGGAATGGGACAGAGAAGCGTTTTTGTGCCTTGGAGCTCCACAGGGTCCCGCTCAGTCAGTTTCAGATGCTCTGCTTCCCTTGGATATTACTTCCCGACTACCACCCTGTGTACTATAGGTATTCATCACCTTTCCTTCCTTGCTGCACACCTTGTGGATATGGGATTTTCTCAATTTCAGCCCCCCAGTTGTCTTTATAAAAAAAAAATCTGTGTGTATATAGATATCTCCCACTGGTTCTTGCCTCTGACAGATGCAATGAAATAAATGTGTCCTGGGGAGGTGATTTAGGTTTCCTGCCTGAGAGGATAACTCCTGCCCACTACACATCCCTTCTTCCAACTAGGAGCATCTTCACGCTGCACAGTTGAGAGGTCCTCTGACCTTGGGGTGTGTGGAAGAAAGGGGGACTTGGGTTTTGTATGATATATCAGCAGTCATCTGTGTCCCTCTGCACTTCTGGCTGGAATAGAAAGAACTCCAATGCCTCATGCTTTGCATTAGGGAATCTTTGTGGTCTGGCCTGTCTTACATGGACCTACAGAGTTTGGGCATTCCTAGAAGGGTAGCGCATCTTCTACTCTATAAATTATGGTTTCTTGAGCTATTTCTGGGGCCAGATGCAACCAAACATCCCTTAAAGTACCTAGTTCTTACTGCATCAGTCTTGAGTAGTGGCATGATCAAGGTCTGGCTGCTATGTGCATTTTTATCTTGGTGAAATCTCCACATTCTCAGTTCTGCTATTTTCCTGGAGGACTGAACAAGGAGACCCAAGAACATATTATAGAAATATCAGATCAATCCAAGGGTAGAGATAGGTTTGCTCACTTATGGCCATCATACATGAAGAGAAAACACAGAAGCAGTGACTGGACCTTCTGCTGTCAGGTTTGCAGAACTGCCTGTGTTTCAGTTAAACCTTATTCTGCTGTAAGAATATAGCTTTAGACAGGGTCATTCTCCAGGTCAACAGCATGCATGTTCATGAGATTTAACAAACGTGGAAATTTTATTCAACAGGGTTAGAAAACTGGCAGATACTGTCACCATTTCCAATGATTAGAAATGCCAGCCAATGTCTTGGTTGAGGGGCAGGGTCTCAGATGATGACTCTTGATCAACTGGTGTGGAAATATTTCAATATTTTAACAAATATTTCCATAGAAGAAAATCCCTTTGATATCTGCCCACCTCTCCTCTTTCCTCTTCTCTTACCTACATTTGTCAGGGAATTGTGGGAGCTACATGTGAGCCCAGATTTGTTTTTGTGAGCAGTTATTTTAGGCTCCCAGAGCACTGCCTTAGAGACTGTATGGGAAAACTAAAATACACTGCTAATGACTGAGAATTCCCTGATAGTCTTTCTTAACTTAAACCTATCTTTTCAGCCTCATTTGCTTAAATAAGAAGAAATCTCAGATGATTTTAAATTTTAAAATATTACTATTCCTGTACAGGATATTGAGTTAAAAAGTGGTAATTTATGCATAAGAAATTGAACATTTCCTGAAATGAAATATTTTGAGATATGAAATATTTCCTTCCATATCAGTAAACAAGGATGTCATAGTCATCAGCACGAGCCAGTGAGCTCTGAGGAAACTCAGGAAAGAAAAGAGTATCTGTCATTTAGCAGCCATCAGACTGTAGCCATCCCTTACGGTGAGCCATGAGGAAACTCAGGAAGTGAAAACACAGGATACTGGCCCCAGATAGGTGACATGGATATCAACAAAATGATTTTAGTAAGTGCAGACTCTTGCGTCTTCTCATACATAGAAAAGTGCTCCCTAATAACGCAGTTGTTAAAGAATCCTTCTGCAATGCAAGAGACCTTAGTTCGATTCCTGGGTTGGGAAGATCCGCTGGAGAAGGGATAGGTTATTCACTTCATTATTCTTGGGCTTCCCTTGTGGCTCAGCTGGAAAAGAATCCACCTGCAATGTGGGAGACCTAGGTTCAATCCCTGGGTTGGGAAGATCCCCTGGAGAAGGGAAAGGCTACGCACTCCAGCATTCTGGACTGGAGAATTTCATGGACTTGTACAGGCTCTGTAGTTTTGGCTCACGGGCATGTAGAATTTTCCCAGAGCAGGGATGAAATTTATATCCCCTGCATTGGCAGGTGTATTCTTAGCCACCAGACCACAAGGGAGTGAGTGCATGTGTGTGTGCATGTGTGTGCTCAGTCATGTCCAACTCTTTGCAACCTCATGGGCTATAGCCTGTCAGTATCCTCTGTTCATGAAATTTTGCAAGCAAAGATACGTGAGTGGGTTGTCATTTCCTTCTCCAGGGTATTTCCTCACCCAGGTATCGAACCTATGTCTCCTGTGTCTCCAGCAGTGACAGGCAGATTCTTTACTACTGAGCACCAAGTCCATCTTTTTTCTTAATGTCATCATTTGTTATAAACTTCCCTCTTAGAACCACTTTTTTGCTGTATCTCACAACTTTTCGTGTTCTGTGTTTCCATTTTTGTCTAGATTTAAAAAATTTCCAAAATTTTGATTTTCAAAATTTAAAAATTTGATCTTCTTTGACCCACTGTTGCTTAAGGGGCATGTAGCTTCATTTCCAACATTCATTTCTGTATTTTTGAGTTTTTCAGTTTTTTTATTGTTACTGATATTGAGTTTCACAGCATTGTAATTGGAAAAGAGAATTGATATGATTTCACTTTTCTTAAATTTCTTAATACTTGTTTTGTGGCTTAACAAATGATCTATCCTGGAGAATGCTCAGAGTGTGCTTGAGAAGAATGTGCATTTTGCTGCTATTGGATGGAATGTTCTATACGTGACTGTTGAATGTGAAAGTGAAAATCACTCAGTCGTGTGCAACCCTCTGTGACTCCATGGACTATACGGTCCATGGAATTCTCCAGGCAAGAATACTGGAGTGGGTAGATGTTCCATTCTCCAGGGGATTTTCCCAACCCAGGGACTGAACCCAGGTCTCCCTCATTGCAGGTGGATTCTTTACCAGCTGAGCCACCAGGAGAGCCCAAGAATACTGGAGTGGGTAGCCTATCCCTTCTCCAGTGGTTCTTCCTGACCCAGGTATTGAACCGAGGTCTCCTGCATTGCAGGTGTATTCTTTACCAGCTGAGCTACCAGGGAAGCCCATATGACTGTTAGGTCCATTTTTTAAAAAGTGTTCAGATCCATAGTTCCTCATTGATTTTCTGTGTGGATGATCTGTTTATTGATTAAAATAAGGTATTGAAATACATTGATCTCTTAATATTTGCTTTATATAATTATGTACTCTGTTGTAGGGTGCACATATATTCACAATTGTAATTATCTATGGATGAATTGACCCCCTTATATAATGACTTTTTTGGTCTTCTAACCATTTTTGACTTAAAGTATATTTTGTCTGATATGAAAAAGCTACTTCTGCTGTCTTTCTACTTGCATGGATATCTTTTCCCATCATGCTACTTTGAGTCAATGTATGTCCTGTGTAGCATATAGTTGGTTTTTTTTTTTTTTTCAATTCCTTCAGTCACTCTGTGCCTTTTGATTGGAGAATTTAATCCATTACATTTAAAGTAATTTTTGATAGGAGGACTTCACAGGTGGCTTATTGGTAAACAATTCACCTGCCAAGCCAGAGACGGGGGTTCAATCCTTGGCTCAGGAAGATCCCCTGGAGAAGGAAAAAGCAACCCACTTCAATATTCTTGCCTAGATAGTCCCATGGACAGAGCAGTCTGTCAGGCTACAGTCCATAGTATTGCACAAACATGACTGAAGTGAGCTTGCGTGCATGCACATGGTGTTTTGCTGTCTGTGATTTTGGGTAGTCCTTTCCAGATGTGTTACTGTTGGAGCCCTCCTCCTCATGCTCTTTACAGAGGTCCATACAAGGCAACTGTCCCAAGGCAGAAGGTCCAGGGGCCCTCTTTAACCTCTAATGGGCTGAGGTACCTACCAGTGATAACATGGAACAATATCTCCTGAGCATACTGGAAACAGGCCCAGAGATTTTGTGTTCTTCTGGGCTTCATTATCAGCATGAGTCAAAAGGGGGCATGTTTATGGAACACAAATTCCTCAGAGAAAGGTTTACCTGCATGCCATTTGGAACCAGAAATCAAGTCTAGCTTGGCCATTTAAGAGATCTGCATCTCTCCAAGTCTTGATGTCCCTATCTATTGATTGAGGGAATAGCAAACACACCTGGAGGATGTTTGAGAATTAAATAAGATGATGTAGGCATAGAGTTAATGTAGGAGGTGGTCCACTGCAGGAATAATATATACTGGTTAGATGGTTTTAGTCCCCAGCAATGTGTGAGATTCTATGCAACTTCACCCCATGTAAGATCCACAGTTGCTTGGGCAACTGAGAAGAAGGAGGACCAGTCGGTCATGTGGCTGGAAACAAAGACTTACTCATAGGCTCAAACTCAAGTTCACTTATGTTTCCTTTTGAACGTCCTGTGCTCTGTTCAGTTTGAGTGATAACAAAGTGCTTTGGATTTTGCAAGTTGGTCACAGAATGGGTAACTCCTCTGGGCTTTCATGGACATGATGTCAGTGTCCTTTTCCTCCACAGATTCCCGTGCTCCTAAACCTGAGCAGAGACCCTGATGTCAGCCTGCCTGCTCCACCACTCATGTATGCGCTGGCCCTTGGTGCCTGTCTGGGAGGTAAGGGGGTATTGGATTTGAGGGAGGGCCTCCAGACATTATGGTGAGCCTGAAGTGATGATTAATGAATGCCAAGTTGAAAATAAAGTAAGAATAAGTAAAGTAAAAATAGTTTGTGATTTCCTAAGTGGAAACCCATCTTCACCATTGACTGGAGAGTTCTAGCCCTGCCCAGTTCCTCTGCAAAGTATGTTACTTCCCATTCTCTGCAGAACTGCCCCTGACATTCTAAGCCTGTGGCCTGAGGATGGTCATTACTGACGTCTCAAAGTTAATGTCTTCCCACACTGCATGCCAATGTGGCTTAGTGACTAAGGTTTAGAAGCAGATTTTGAATCAGAAGCCATCTTTAGTGGCAACTTGTTATTCCCTTTTTTAAGGAGTGTGTGTTGTGGGTGATGGTAGGTAAAGTGATAAATGTGTGAGCTAAGAAGTAGAGACTCTAATGTGAGAATAAGAAGAAAAATTTTTTAAAGTTTTTTTGGGCCGGAGGAGTGTTTTGTCTTTTGGAGGCATTAAAAAGCCAATTAGATGAAGTGTCAGGAGAGACTAACCTCTGTGAGTAAACACAGGGGTTTGGATGTGATTGTATTTGGAATGAGACCTAATCACCTTTGGGAACACAAGAGGATTGTGAAAAATCTTAGATAAACACAATAGATAGCTTTTAAATTTTTGTTTTTGCTTCCAGGTATGCTTAGGTAATCTAGCTTTCTTTGTGCTTTGATTGGTCTCTAACTCTTAAACCAACAGCTTTGTTTTTAGTGTATCTTCTAGTTTGCAGAGGGCGACTAATGTCATTCAGTGAAGTTGCTATGATTTCTGGAGACAGCTAGTTCACCTAATTCAGCAACCGAGGCCTCAAATTCTGAGTTTAGGTTTGTTAAAATGGCCCCCATCTGAGATCAGCCCCAGGAAAAGCAACAACTGCATTCACAACTACATTTAGTATCAGTGATAGAAACAGAATCCAGAGACACCAGGAAATATGTCCGCTGTGCAGAATTTTGCTCATTAAACCTTAATGAGCATCTTCTACTATTATACGCTGACATTGTCTTCCTGAGTGGGGAGACAATCACATAAGTTAAGATTGCAATATAAGTGGTTCCTCTTATGGCCATGGACACAGCGTGCTCGGGGGGCACCATAGAGGCTGGAGGAAAGTCAGGAATGGCTCTCCAGAGAGGGAAGTTTTGAGGTGGTTCTCAAAGAATGAGAAGCTTCCTGGACTGATTCTTATTCACCCAGAACATGTAGAATGAATAGAAGAGAGGGGATTATCAAGGAAAGAAGTTAACATGGACCATTTATATGGCTAATAACCTAAAATATGATTAAACATTTATTGATTGAGACTCTTTTTACAATTTATATATTTTTAATTGAAGGATAATTGCTTTACAAAATTGTGTTGGTTTCTGCCATACATCAACATGCATCAACCAAAGAGTACACACGTCCCCTCCCTTGTGAACCTCCCTTCCACCTCCCACCTCATCCCACCCCTCTAAATTGTCACAGAGCTCATGTTTGAGTTCCCTGTTTCATATAGCAAATTCCTAGTGGCTCTCTATTTTACATATGGCATTGTATATGGTTCCATGCTACTCTCCCCATTTGTCCCACCCTCTCCTTCCCTCATATCCTGTGCCCACAAGTCTGTTCTCTATGTCTTTGTCTCCACTGCTGATCTGCAGATAGGTTCATCAGTACCATCTTTCTAGATTCCATATGTATGTGTTAATATACAATATTTGTTTTCTATTTCTGACTTACCTCACTCTGTACAATAGGCTCTAGGTTCATCCACCTCATTAGAACTGACTCAAATGCTTTCCTTTCTATGACTGAGTAATATTCCAGTAATATTTTATATATGTACCATAGCTTCCTTAATCATTCATTTGTCAATGAACATATAGGTTGCTTCGATGTCCCAACTATTTTAAATAGTGCTGCAATGAACGTTGAGGTACATGTTGCTTTTTCAATTCTCATTTTCTCTGGGTATATGCCCAGTAGTAGGATTGTTGGGTCATATGGTCATTTTCTTCCTAGTTTGTTAAGGAATCTCCATACTATCTTACATAGTGGCTGATCAATTTATATTCCCACCAACAGTGCAAGAGGGTTCCCTTTCCTCCACACCATCTCCAGCATTTATTGTTGTAGATTTTATTTTTTTGCTGAATGTGTATGTATTTTCTTTTAAAAAATATTTATATATTTTAATTGGAGGATAATTACAATATTGTGATGGCTTTTGGCATAGATCAACATGAATCAGCCATAGGCATACATGCATCCACCCCATCCTGAACCCCCCTCCCACTTCCCTCCCCACCCCATCCTTCCATGTTGTCACAGAGCACTGGTCCTGGATACCCTGCTTCATGCATCCAACGTACAGTGGTCATCCATTCTACATATGGTAATGTACATGTTTCAGTGCTATTCTAACCCTCTCCTTCTCCTATTGGGTCCAGAAGTCTGTTCTTTATGTCTGCTGTGTCTCCTTCTGTACATAGGATCATCAGTACCATCCTTCTAGATTCCATATGTATGCATTAATATACATCAATTGTCTTTCCCACTTACTTCACTCTGTATAATAGGCTGTAGGTTCATCCACCTCATTAGAACGGACTCAAATGCATTCCTTTTGTAGCTGAGTAGTATTCTGTTGTGTATATGTGTCACAATTTCCTTATCCATTCATCTGTTGATGGACATCTAGGTTGCTTCCATGTCCTAGCTATTGTAAATAGTGCTGTGATTAACACTGTGGTACATGTGCCTGTTCCAATTCTGGTTTCCTCAATGTTTATGCTGAACAGTGGGATTGCTGGTTCATAATGACAGTTGTATTCCCAGTTTTTTAAGGAATCTCCACACTTTTCTTCATAGTGGCTGTACCAGTTTGCCTTCCAACAAACGGTGCAAGAGAGTTCCCTTTTCTCCACACCCTCTCCATTTATTGTCTGTAGACTTTTCAATGATGGCTGTTTCTGGCTATTGTGAGATGATACCTCATGGTGATTTTAATTTACATTTCTCTGATAATAATTGATGTTGAGCATCTTTTCATGTGTTTGTTAATCATCTATATGTCATCTTTGGAGAAATGTCTGTTTAGGTCTTTTGCCTACTTTTTGATTGGGTTGTTTGTTTTCTGGTATTGGGTTGCATGAGCTTCTTGTATATTTTGGAGATAATTCTTTGTCAGTTGTTTTGTTTGCTTTGTTTTCTCCTATTCTGAAGGTTGCCTTTTCACCTTGCTTATAGTTTCCTTCATTGTGCAAAAGCTTTTAAGTTTAATTAGGTCCCATTTGTTTATTTTTGCTTTTATTTCCATTATGCTGGGAGGTGGGTCATATAGGATCTTGCTGTGATTTTTGTCAGAGAGTGTTCTGCCTATGTTTTCTTCAAAGAATTTTACAGTTTCTGGCCTTACATTTAGGTCTTTATCCATTTTGAGTTTATTTTTGTGTATGGTGTTAAAAAGTGTTCTAGTTTCATTCTTTTACATGTAGTTGACCACTTTTCCCAGCACCACTTGTTGAAGAGACTGTCTTTTTTCCATTGTATATTTTTTGCCTCCTTTGTCAAAGGTAAGGTGTACATAAGTGTGTGGATTTATCTCCAGACTTTCTATTTTGTTCAATTGATCTATATTTCTGTCTTTTGCCAGTACCCTACTATTTTGATGACTGTAGCTTTGCAGTGTAATCTGAAGTTGGGAAGACTGATTCCTCCAGTTCAATTCTTCTTTATCAAGATTGCTTTGGCTATTTGGGCCTTTTGTGTTTCCATACAAATTGTGAAATTATTTGTTCTAGTTCTGTGAAAAATACTGTTGGTAGTTTGATAGGGATTGCATTGAATTTATAGATTGCTTTGAGTAGTATACTCATTTTCACTATATTGACTTTTCCAACCCAAGAATATGGTATATTTCTCCACCTATTTGTGTAATCTTTGGTTTCTATCATCAATGTTTTGTAATTTTCTACATACATTTGTGTCTTTAGGTAAATTTATTCCTAAGTATTTTATTCTTTTCATTGCAATGGTGGATAGGATTGTTTACTTAATTTTCTTTTTCTGATCTTTCATTGTTAGCATATAGGAATGCAAGGAATTTCTCTGTGTTAATATTATATCCTGTGACTTTACTATATTCATTGCTTAGCTCTACTAATTTTCTGGTGGCTTCTTTAGGGCTTTCTTTTTTGTTTCATTTATTTTTATTAGTTGGAGGCTAATTACTTCACAACATTGCAGTGACTTTTGTCATACATTGACATGAATCAGCCATGGAGTTACATGTATTCCCCATCCCGATCACCCCTCCCACCTCCCTCTCCACCCGATTCCTCTGGGTCTTCCCAGTGCACCAGGCCCGAGCACTTGTCTCATGCCTCCCACCTGGGCTGGTGATCTGTTTCACTATAGAAAATATACATGTTTCGATGCTGTTCTCTCTAAACATCCCACCCTCTCCTTCTCCCACAGAGTCCAAAAGTGTGTTCTGTACATCTGTGTCTCTTTTTCTGTTTTGCATATAGGGTTATCATTACCATCTTTCTAAATTCCATATATATGTGTTAGTATACTGTAATGGTCTTTATCTTTCTGGCTTACTTCACTCTGTATAATGGGCTCCAGTTTCATCCATCTCATTAGAACTGATTCAAATGAGTTCTTTTTAATGGCTGAGTAATAGTCCATGGTGTATATGTACCACAGCTTCCTTATCCATTCGTCTGCTGATGGGCATCTAGGTTGCTTCCATGTCCTGGCTATTATAAACAGTGCTGCGATGAACATTGGGGTGCACGTGTCTCTTTCAGATCTGGTTTCCTCAGTGTGTTTGCCCAGAAGTGGGATTGCTGGGTCATATGGCAGTTCTATTTCCAGTTTCTAAGAAACCTCCACACTATCCTCCATAGTGGCTGTACTAGTTTGCATTCCCACCAACAGTGTAAGAGGGTTCC